CCTTTTCTCTTCCTAAGTTGACTGTGTCATGTAATTTGTTCTAGTAATGGAAAGTTGACTTTTGCATTAAACTTTCAATGCAAGAGAAGAAAGTGAAAACCCATTTATATTTTTCTCAGACTCTATCTTCTTATCTAAGAAGAATCAAAATTATAAATATCACTAGTAGAACAAGAGTCGCTATCATTTCTTTCAGGATAAATGTCACATAAGGTTGCAAGGTTTTTGTTCTATTTTTTTTCCTTCTATTTCATAAGGTATGCTGGACATAGTGTTCCTTATTCATATTTTTAGTCGTCACTACATTTAACTGCAGATCTCAGTATTCAAAACCTTTACTATAAATTAAATTCTATTTCTAAATTCTGTGTTAAAATCTAGTGTAAGAGTTGGTGATAGTAGATGCTCAATTAACACTGAATGGATGAAGTTCAGATTCAAGTCCACAGGTACCGTTGGTCCAGGCCATTCAATGGATGAATACGTTAAGGAATTTAAGTAAGCTCTTCTAGATTTTAAAGGTGTGCATTGACTTTCCAATAGACCTGCAACATGAGAACTAGACCACCAGAGTTCAATTACCTCCCATTTCCCTCAAGAGGAAAAGAAAAAAAAAGATGGCCTGAGTAATTTGTAGAGGCATTTCCTAATGATGGGCGGGGGGGGGGGGAAAATTGCAGTAAGTTACAGAGGTGAGCACCTTTCTCTTTAACAGGGACATTTATCCCATCCTTCAACGTAACTCTATGTCAGACTAATAACTAGAACATGGTCTCTCTCTCCGTCGTCTTTATCCTTTTGATTCTATTATTGCCATCCAGGGCTTTCAGCTCGTAGCTCTCACTCCAGCCTGTTAGCAATGAGAGACCCTGACATTTCCCATGACGTGCGGCATGGATTGCCTCATTGGAATGTAATCATTTGCAATCATGCAAAAAAATTGAAAAGCAAGATCTACACTCAAATGTACTGTACAAATTCCATTTAACATGTAATTGCTTATATTGGCAATCTCTGTATTGACTTTCCCTAAGCAGGGCTCAAATTAAATGAATCTGTCTTTCTTACAAAATGATCATTCAACTCATTTGAAACCAGTTTTACTGTCAACATACATTTGTAGGATACTCATGACAAATAACGTTATCGGGGCACAATTGTGGATTTTTATCTGCTAGCAATTATTCCACTACCAGCCTTTGCTTTACAAAAAATCAACATATTGTTAAAAAAAAAAAAAAAAAAACTCTATCCATTGTGCAAATACAGCGGGGGACACATTAGTCCAAATTCTGAGCTGAATAAGCTTCAATTCAGCTTACCTCGGGAGGTATTCCTGATCCATTTTCCTAAACCTCCTCCTCTCTGATCTCTAACAAGGTATAGGGACAGTAATGATCTCATTATTGTTTGCAAAGGGCCCTTTGGTCCCAAACCAACTCTCCTCCTTCAAAAGCTTAATGCAGTAAACTTCAGTCAATGAGGAAAATGCTTTAAATAATCTCATTTAGAGAAAAATTAGCTAAAATATCTGTGATTCCATCTTTATGGTTTCATAGGACTTGTACCAAAAAAAAAAAAAAAAAACGCTTAAAATGATTTAAACTTCATTGCATGGCAAATGATACATCTCAGTAAAATTCCAAATACAGGTCGCCAAAATAATTATATAACCACTTCTGCACATTAACCTTAGAAATACGAAGGTTTCCAGATGGAAGTACAGAAGTGATAAAACAATGAATATTTGATGCAACTGAGACTTTCCTCTAAAACTAAAAACTTCAAATCTACCGCCTGTTGAGACCAGTTGTTGATATTATTGACCCTTTTGGTACCATGCCTTAAGAGTGCTTCTCTGTGCTGGGCACAATGGTGCACAGCTGTAATCCTGGGGACTTGGGAGGCTGAGGCTGGAGGATCCTGAGTTCAGTGCCAGCCTCAGCAACTTAGGGAGGCCCTCGGCAACTCAGTGAGAACCTGTCTCTAAATAAAAATATAAAAAAGAGACTAGAGATGTGGCTCAGTGGTTAAACACCCCTGAGTTCAATCCTTAGTAACTAACAAACAAACAAACAAAAAGTCCTGTTTTTCAAATGAGAGTCATCTTCCCTCCCATGGGACATTGAATCTATCTGATGGTATCTTTGATGACCATCATACCTAAGGTGAGTGTCATTGGCATCTAGTGAATAGTAAATATTCCAAAACACATATGACAAAGCATCATAGAGCCCAAAATGTCTATAGCCATGAAGATTGAGGAAAACTTGTATCAAAGAAGGATCAATAAATGTGTCATTAGAAAGTCCAAGGGGGTATGAGTACCCCCGTACCCCATAAGGAAAGCAACTTTGGGGGGAGGGTACCTTATTACTTTTTTTTTAACCAGGGATTGAACTCAGGGGCACTTGACCACTGAGCCCCATCCCCAGCCCTATTTTGCATTGTATTGAGAGACAGGCTCTCACTGAGTTGCTTAGTGCCTCCCTTTGGCTGAGGCTGGCTTTGAACTCCAGATCCTCCTGCCTCAGCCTCCCGAGCCGCTGGGATGACAGGCGTGTGCCACCATGCCCAGGTAGAAGTTCTTTTTCAAAGAATAGTATTTGTTATCTGGACCATATTTTCCCAGATAAATCATAAAAATAAGAACTAGGGGTGTCAGGAATAACATCCTGACATTCCCAAATTATTGGAAGACAGATAATGACCCATAGCTTTCATTTCACTCTTCCCACACCACTCCGCATGGTTACCATGCCCTGGATGACTTTGTGACTCATTCCTGTAGTTCTCTAAGTCAGAATTGTTGTTTTTTTTGTTTTTGTTTTCTTTTCTTTCTTTTTTTTTTTCTGCTTCAAACCAGATAATGTGGGGAAATGTTCAAGGGCATAATTCTAGAAGCTTTAAGCTGCACCATGGGTTTCCTACTTCCCTTCCACACTCTTTGGCTCCAAGAAGCATTCACTCTTCATTTAATGAAGTCGTAACTGAGTTTTAGTTTAAATTACATAATTTTTTTTTCTTCCTCCTTCTCAGACTGGATGACACCCAATGGCATCCAGGGATAGTAAATATGCTACCTGTCTAATCAACATTTTTAAATGAATCACAGCCCGCCAAAAGGTCATTTCATTTCCCAAAGCAAAGACAATTTTAAGGGCAACGACTAGAGCTCCTTCTTCCTGAACTGGATCCCATTACTTGTGATTTCCTCTTTTCTCCTCCATTGGGGGTAGCCTCGCGGGTCACAGCAGGATAAGCTTCGACTCTTGGAACAGTTCACACAATTTTTAACTGTTACCTGAAGACACAGAAAAGGTGTCAAGTTCAATCTTTCTCAGAAGTTCAGATTTGGGAGTCAGTGGCGTATTTTAAAATCTCTTTGTCAAATGGACAAGACCCTGTGTTTACGTGTGCAACAGCAGAATCTGTACCCCTGAAACAGAGAACATAAAATCATTTTCTAGGATGATGACCACTTCTCGCCACACAGTTGATTTTTATTTATTTTAAACACGTTTCAAAGTAGGCGTACAGATCTATTTCTCCTAATGTGTGACATTGAATGTGTTTAGAGCCAAAGGATCATTTTTGAAATATCATGAGAACAATGATAAGAAGTTTTTAAAAAATATTTTTATTAGTTATAGATGGACACAATACCTTTATTTGTTTATTTTTTTTAATGTGGTGTTGAAAATCGAACCCTGTGCCTCACACATGCTAAGCAAGCACTCTACCACTGAGCCACAACCACAGCACAAGAGGAACATTAAAAAAAAAAGAATTATCATTTCATTAAAAAAAAAAAAAAACAAATAAAGTCAAAGCAATATTACTGTAGTAAGAATGATCTTATAAGATCATTCAGGGCACCATCATTTTTGACAGTAGAATATTGAAAAAATTTAAATGCCACACTACCAGAGATGGATTGAATAAACTTACAGTACATTCACACAGTACAGGATGGTGCATCTAATATTAAAAAAAATAGTGTGCATGATCTTTATAATATGACAAGAAGTGATTTTTATTACATACTACCATATAACAAAGAAATATCAAGGTGCAAAAAGTCTACAATTAGCTGACATTTGCTGGTTCTGCCTGCCCAGATTCAATCCATCATAAACCAAAACTATTGGAAAAGAATGACACCTTGAATAAACATGCAGAGACTTGTTTTTTTGTCATGATTCCCTGAATGACACAGAGTGACAACTATTAGTAAGGTGCTTCCATTGTATTAGGTACCACGAGGAATCCAGAGATAATTTCCAGGATCCAAGAGGATGTGCACATATAGACAAATACCATCTCATTTTAAATAAGGCACTTAATACAAAGGGAGGAACATATAGAGTCAACCACTCACGGATAAAGAAGAGGAACATAAAGATATCAGTCATCATGCCGCCATGTTTATTTTAGATGACCTTGTGTGCACGTACCTATAAGTACATATTACTTGTTTTCGGAAGAAACACTGAAATAATTCAAAACTAAATGTTTATTTGAAGGAAGGTCAGTGGAAACAACATAAGAAAGACAGGAATAGAAATGAGACTTTCAAGAGTTTTCTTTTCTAATATTGTACCGACTTGAGAACCACATCAATGATTTAACATACTCAAAAGTAAAATAAACTCAAGACAAATGCCAAAAAGCAACTCCTGAAATTGAATATAATGAAAAAAAAAAAAAAACCCTGAATATACATGTATAACATCAATGCACAGGAAAAGAGAAAAATTTCACCTTCCATTTGATCAAAGGATGGCCTTAGTTTCTTTGAAAAGAACTTTTGAACTTCATGTAGCAGATTCCTTGTTGGTGGAGGAAATTAACATATTGATTTTGCAATTATTTTGCACGAATGAACTGAAGGGGCAAATGAGAATATATATATACATACACACACACACACACACACACCATGGTTTTGGAAACAGTGTTCTTAGTAGGAGAAAAGAGAGATTAAAACAGAGCTTTAGGGCTGGGGATATAGCTCAGTTGGTAGAGTGCTTGCCTTGCATGCACAAGGTCCTGGGTTCAATCCCCAGCCCCACCAAAAAGAGCATTTTCTATATCTTCTCAACAAAAGACCCCATTACAAAAACACCAAAAAATGTATATGAGTTTACTCATGGAAAATCCTGAAAGAATGTGATCGAACCTCTGACAGAAGTATGTTTGAGGAGTTAAATTATCCAAATTCTATAATTTCTTCAAACAATAGGGTTTATCAGAAAAAATCAACTGAATAAGATATATTTTAAAGATATAAAGTAAAAACATTGAATGACGTTGATTTCCACTTATTTTTCAATAATGTCTCCATAAGGAATTGTGATTTTTCTTTTTTTAATATCCTGTTTCTCAAGTGGAGATCTCAAGTTGTATGGTAGTGTGGACTCTATTGATGAGTTTAGGAGTAATGGTAGTGTGTACTCTATTGATGAGTCCAGGGGTGTTCAATGCAGAATTAAAGAGCTTCTACAAAGGAAAAAAAAAAAGGAGAGCAAGAGAGCCAAACACTGAGGGGTTGTTTCTAACATAGGGATCTAATCAGAGGCTGACATGGGTTTATCTATCTTACCAATGAGTGTGCAAGTATCTGACTGAGAAGCTCTTGTAAGCCAACCAGCAAAAGAACTCATTTCAAAACTCAGGAAAGAACCTGAATGAACAGTTCCAAAAAGAAGATTCATGATCAGTCAGTTCATAGAAAGAGAGCTCATCCTCAGGATGCAAAGTCAACCGTGAGGAGTTGCTTCCTCAGACCTGAGGAAGGACAGACTTGCCTTGTAGCCAAGCAGTTCTAATGAATCTGGGTTTTGAAAGGTCAGATTCATCCTTAACTGGAAGATGTTTCCACCAAGGTGCTGTGGATCACGTTCCTTTGCATCTTTGGGGAGGTACTTACGGATGTCCAGTTCTAGTATTGACGGGCTACCTGTCATGGTTGGATGAAGTAGCTGTGTGCCAGACTAAAATATCTTTTCTCTCTTGTAAATGAAGAAGAATATTTTAGAAGTGTGGATTTTGAGCATATACTACCTTTGTTTTAACTGTAATGTGCTTACTCACAGGTCAATATAATTTAACTTTCAATAATAGCCATGTTTAACCATTGGCTCACAAAACTCCTGAAAAATTAACAACTGGCTTGCATAAGCTATTATTAACCTGCTCCAGAATACTACTGAGCCTTCTTCTACTTCTACTTCTTCTCTACTGAGCCTCAATTATATCACATGCCAAATTCAATAAATGTGTGTAAATTAAAAATCATGTTAGCACATGGAGGAAAAATACGTTAATAATTAGAGTTGAGTATTTTATTTAGTATAAACACCTTGGAACCTTACAGAGTCAACCAGACAGAAAGATATCTAGAAGGTCACAATAGCATGACTGTTATTATTCTCTACATGTGGATATCACTATTGGTTGGTAGATAGATGGCAGATAGACACATGGTCATGGTCGACAGCAAAAGCAAATAACATTTTTAACATCTACAGCACATTCACAAAAAGGCTTTCTTTGCTAGCCCACAAAAGAAAGCCTCAGTAAATTATAAAGTCACAAAATAAAAACTGACAAAATAGCATCACCACCACCCGCCCCCAAAACAAAACAAAAGCTCACCAATGATTGTGTAATTTTTTGTGGATTGCAATAAAATTAGAAATAAAAGACAAAAAAGATATCTGGGTGCAGTGGCTCACGCCTGTCATCCCAGCTGCTCGGGAGGCTGAGGCAGGGGAATCTCAAGTTCAAAGCCAGCCTCAGCAAAAGCAATTCACTCAGTGAGACCCTGTCTCTAAATAAAATACAGAATAGGGCTGGGGATGTGGCTCAGTGGTCGAGTGCCCCTGAGTTCACACCCTGGTACCATCCCTTCAAAACCCAGTTAAAAAGCCAGTACAATCTTAGAAACGGCTATCCTAAAATTTTTTTGGGGGGGAAATTATCAAACTCAGAGGACCTCACAAATGATCACTACAAAAATTCCAAGGATCCTTTTTTAATGAGTTCTTGATCCATATAGAAGCTGATGGAATATGTATCAATTCATCTGATAAGGTCACAATTTAGGTCACTAGATAAGGACAGGGCTTTTAAAAATGGAATTGAAAGTCAATTTTATTATGAACAAAGATTTCTTAAAAAATTAAATTGGATTACAAATCCAACTGGATAGCAAGAAGTACTGATTTTAGAGTGAATAGTAAGTTTTTCTGATAGTCATCTTATACATGAGCCAATTTGAACTTAATCAAGTAAAAATAAAATTGTCTAACCTTAACCAATTAGTTAGCAGCAGAGCCAAAATTGAGTTTTCTTGAGACCTTGCTGACTCAAACCTCCCCTATCATGTGCTGGTCTCTAAATAACTGTTGGGTATTACAAGGCACTTACTCTCAGCCTATTTGAAATCATCAACACCTATTCCATTTCTAATACTTAGCTTAAAGTGTTGTGTGAGTGTATTCTTTTTATCTTTTCCCAGTAGCCTCTGGCAATTTTGAAAATAAAAATCTAAGAATTTAACATTTTCCCCTTAGGCTAAAAATATAAAACAGGGTCCATGTGGAAGAAAGTATAATTTAAAAGAGAAAAATAAGAAGGATAACATTATACAGACTTTTGTTGGAAAATTGTATACAATAGCAAAACCCATGACATACCCTAAGCATCTGAAATTCACTAAAGTATAGTAGTCAATGAAACACTATGGAAGCATTTAAATGGATATTTGAAAACATAGCAGCATGACCAGCAATGTAAAAAAAAGTTCTATATAGGTGTAATATGTCTCAAAATGTATTCTGCTGTCATATATAACAAATTAAAATCAATTTTAAAGAAATTATTAGAAATAAAAACACAGCAGCATGAAAAAGTGTTGATAAATAATCAATGACTGTCCTTGTTTTAAAATACCTTTTATTTAATCATGAATCTTGGTTTATTTCTTTGGTGGATGAATTTGCACTTTTTTAAAGGGTGGTTTTGTTTTGGCCTCTCAATTGCACATCCATAAAAAATGTATTTTTTAATTTGAAATATGAAAAAGTGATCTACTGCCGCAGCCAGGCTGGCTGGGCAAAATAGCTGGGGGGGTGACGAAGAACTTGTGTACGTTGATACAGCAGGAGTAGGAGCCGTTTATTGCAGGACAGGAGCAGTATTTATACTTTCCACACAGCTTATCTAATTAGCATAAACTAGATACATCAGTCAACCAATAAGGAATCTCCACACTTAATGGCTCGCTTTTGTTACTTCTCAAACCACTCCCTCTGGCATTTTGCCAGGCACCATCCAGACTTGTTTACGAACTCTAACATTCCCCTGGCAAAATGCCAGGTGTTATTTTGACTTGTTTACAGACTCTAACAATCTATGGGTTCAATGCACCACCCATCAAAATGCCAATGACTGTTGCACTCGAAAGAGAAAAAAAAAATCCTAAAATTCATAGAAAAGAACCAAAGACCCAGAAAAACCAAAGAAATCTTTAGCAAGAAAAGTAATGCTGAAGGCATCCCAAAACCTGATTTTTAAATGACACCACAGAGCTATAGTAACCCAAACTGCATGGTATTGGCATAAAAACAGATGCAGAGACGAACAGAACAGAAAATACAAACCCACGGAGATACAGTTGTGTCTGATCCTTGACAAAGTTTCCAAGTACACACAGAGCAGTAGGCAGCCTCTTCAACACATGGTGCTTGGGAAACTGGAAATCCATAGGTAGAAGAATGAAACTCGATTTCTAATTCTGACCCTGCAGGAAGGTGAGGGTGGAGCACATGTCTTGGAATTTGACCTGAAACTCTGCAACTAGTAGAAGAAAACAGAGGATCAGCACTCCATCACCTTGCCAGAAGCACTGACTTCCTTAACAAGACTCCTGAAGCTCAATAAATAAAACCAGGACTCCACAGGTGAGATGCCATCAAATTTAAAAGCTTCTGCAAAGCAAAGGAAAATGATTAAGGACATGAAGCGACAACCTCCAGGTTGGGAGAAAATCTTTGCCATCTCCTCTTCCAACAGAGGACTGGTATCCAGAAAGCATCCTTAAAAGAATCCAATGACCCAAGGAAATGGGCATGTGAACCGAACACACAGCACTCCCAAGAAGAAAGACAACTGCTCACCTGTGTGACTAACGTTCACTCTCTTGGTCCATCGGGGAGATGCAAATCAAAGTACTCTGACATTTCCTCTCCTTCCGGCTAGAAAGGTGATCATCCAGAATATCAATAGCCGTCCATGCTGGTGGGGAAGGAGGAAATAGAGCCCTTAGGAGCTGTGGTTGGAAACGTGAATTAGTACAGCATCCTTGGAGATCCGTGTGGAGGCTAAAAAAAAAAAAGATTGATGCACAGAACTGCAGATCATAATCTTGAGTGAAATAAGTCACTTTCGGGAAGAAAAGTTTCGCATGGTTTCTCTCACATGTGTAAGCTAGAGGGAAAACTCAGGAAAAATAAATACAAAGAAAAAGAAAAAGAGGAGGCCAGGAAATCAGAGGAACGGAGGAGGGGAGGGGAGGAATTGGAGGGTGAAATTGATCACATTATTATTTATGTATTTATTTATTTGTTACTGGGGATTGAACCCAGGGGCACTTAACCACTGAGCCACAACCCCAGGCATTTTTTTTTTTTTAAATTTTACTTAGGGATAGGGCTTAGGATGAGTTGCTTAGAGCTTCACTTAGGTGTGGAGGCTGGCTTGCAACTCAGGATCCTCCTGCCTTAGCCTCCCAAGCCGCCGGGGGATTACAGGCATGTGCCACTGTGCCCAGCACACATTGTGTTTTTATGTATGTACAGGTATGCCACGATGAAGCCCACTGTTCTGTATCATTAACATGCACTTATAAAATATCAATTTTTATAAACAAACAAATGTATTGATTTCTCTGTAGCACAAAAGATGGGGACAATAGGTTGAGAGCATTCTTTTTTTCCTAACTGTAAGCAATAAAATATATCCTCCTCCCCGCTTACAAACTGGGATCGGCCACCTCCAACACAAATCGTC